CATAATATATCGATTCCCTTATTATTATCTATACGATTAAATGCCTATAAATGCTCAGGATTATCACCTTTTATCATAACATAAGCCTATCTATAACCCTATACTATATAGGCGTATATACTACGCCCCTGAATACGCTTATACCTGTGCTAATAAAATTAATATCTTTTAGATTAGGGTTAATTAAGGCTTAATCTTTTACTATACGCCTTATAGTAGTATTAGTACCTCTAGGTCTTATAGTTAAAAATTCTAATAAATTATATAGAAATAGTCTCTTATAAGGTAGGTATTAATATTATAAATAGGCTACTAAGTATTAGTTAACTAGTAGTAGTTAATTTTAAGCTTAGAGTAAATTATTATATAGATTAAGGTAGTAAAAAAGATATAAACTTTAGTAGAGCTAGTAGTAAAGTTATTATTAAACTATAAGGTCTTCTACTTTAAGCTTTAATAAGAACTACTATTACTAATTTAATACTACTAGAGGTATAGATTAGTCTATTTAGCTTACTTAGCTACTTCCTTAAGAGGTAGGAAGTATAAGAAGATCTTAAGGGTAATCTTACTAAATAAGAGAGAAAATATAAGTATATAGTTAGTAAGGTATAGTTTTAAGAAGGCTAAATAATAGTACTCCTTAGAGATATTACTACTTAGCTAGTCTTTTAGGAAGTACTATAATATAGGTATAAAGCTAAAAAAGTTATGATTTTTAGCGCCCTATAAAGCTTATAAGGAGGAGGGGTTATTTAGCGATATATCTTATAATAAAGTTAGTTTTAAGTTAAATTTAGCTTTAGGTATAAAAAAAATAGGGAAAAAAATAGAAAATTTATATACCTTTATCTTTATTAGATATATTATTAATAGTTAGGTTAACTTTATTACTTATAAGGTTATTATTAATATCGTTAAGAGGTAATATAAGTAGGTTAAAAATTATATTATAGAGAGGTATAGTTAGAAGGCTAAATTAACTTAAGCTATATTAGATTAAAAAATCTATAACTAGCTAAAAATATACTAAATAGAATCCTTAGCCTCTAATTAATTAGAAGTAATAAGGGTAAGTTAAAAAAGATTAATATGGTTAATTAATAAGATTATAGCTTAAGCTATAAAATACTTTATTTTTATTTCTATAGTTAATTAAAAATTAAATACTAATTAGTAACTAAAATAAAACCTAAAAAAATAATTGCTATAACGATCTATATAGGAATATCTCTTTTTTTTTATTAGCTGCGTTATAGCTAATTTATGCTAGAGTTTCAGAAAATATAGTAGCATTTTAGGCCCCTGTTAATAACTAATTATACCGATCTTAGTATAGTTTTGAGCTATTTTCTGCACTTAAAGGGATAATCTGTCCTCTGCAGTACCTCTATTTCTTTGATGTCTTCTACTATTGTCTGTAACATGAGTACTTCGGTGCGCAGATAATGTAGCAAATTGGCAGCGCAGATATAGGAAAATTAGGCGGTCTTATCAGATATACATACCTATGATTATGCAATATATAATTGCACCTGAAGTTGCTGGGAAAACGGAACGGACACCCAGTCGCCTAAACATAATTCATCTCCTCTATGCACCCTGCATCTATTTAACGAGAAGATATCTTCAGCACCGTACCATTTAAACAGTAGCGGTACTTCTGAAAAGGAAATATCACGTCTCCATCTCTTCTGACCCCTGTAAGTACAGAAAACAACTTGGTATTGCCTCAGCGCCTCTTATTCAACACAGACCCGATTGTTCATTCAAGGCGGCGCGGGCGCGGGGCAAGAAGTTCCCCATCCCGTGAGAGCGATCTACTTCTAGACCGCATATTTCTTCCAGGACGCTTAGTCTCAGCACCACCCCACGTCGGTTTCTCTCCGTCGAAATGAAAAATGTGACGTCTTGTGGCTGTCGAAGCATCCTCAGAACCTTGGAGCATAAGCTCAATAGGGGCCATCATGTCGAAAAGCGGATCCGTCTCATCTTGCCTTGAAAGAGAAATCAAGACAGCGCCATGGAATGATCTCATTAGGGAGAGGAAACCTGCGTGACGGATCAATGAGAGAGCTGCCTTTAGTACATTCTGTGTGGCCTCAGAAGTCGGAAAGAAACCTACGGCGAATCTCAACGCAACCCTTGCGATCCTTGCATGAATGCTTTGCTACCAATGATGCAAAGTTCTGGAGATACAAATATGCTCCAATTTGCTGCACCTCTTCGAAGATCTGCTGTAAGTGTTCTATGAAATCGTCATCAGGATGTATGATGTCTAACAAATCAAGCCGAATGAGAGGACGCTTCGCATTCTCTGCCACAGCTGTGTAAAACCGACTGTTGCTTAGTTCAAAATGATCCTCAAGGAATGTGTCAGTATTCAAGGGGACATACCTGCAATTGTGGGCGGCATGAAAGGCATGCTGTTCCGTACAATGACAACTTTTCCGTTTGGCTGACAGTCGCATTGCGACAGTTCCATTTCTGATCGATCAGGTCGGGGGAGAGAAAGGCCGGCTATGATGCTCGAGACATCCTGGTTCAGTTCGCAATCTTTCCATTGCACTGGCGTGAGGTTATCGATGAAGACTGATACCCCCGCGAAGTCAGGTAAAGTTCTAACCAACACGGCCCCCGAACAGATTAAGAACATCTTATCGCAATCTTTGCTCATGCTGCTCCTGGGACCAACACGACTTGGTATCGAAGGGGACGATGCAATGGGGATTCTTGACATCACATTGTTCATAACGACTCTTTCACAAGTCTGTAGAAGCTGAAGTTAGCTCTCACGGTCGCCGTGAACAATACACCTTAGGCACAACGACAGGACACTCACAACGCTATTCCACCGCATCCAGGGGCTCAGCTTGTTGAAGGATGATTCCTGGGGTTTTCGCAAACGCTGGGTACCATAATGTGGTTCACAGCAGGACGGTCCATTATAATCCCAACATCCAATCTTGATTTGCGACATCTCGAGGTACAGTCTCCCTCGCGCAATCATTCTGTCTGAAAGCGTCCGCTGCTCTTCGGCAGGAAGGCTCTTCAACGGGACAACCCCAATGTCAGCCAATTGGATGCTCTTTTCGCCTTTGTACCCGTAGATCATGACTTCGGCAGATTCTAGATACCAGCCGTTGTCGCTCTTGGCATCGAACCCCCATTTCTTAACGCTTACGAGAAAGTCTTTTTGTATGTTTGCTGTAACAAGCTCACAGTCCACGGCCACCCAACATTGCTCAAAGAGAGTATCCTTGAGAGGAGTCGGATCAGCCGTGTAAACGATGTCACCTATCAAGAATATCTTCGGGAGGTCCGCGAATGTTACGCTGCCCTTGAGAAGTAGCGTGTCCTGAGTGGCTACAGCCTCTTCACGAGACATTCTTGAGCCGAAAGCTCCTCCGCAACGCATGTAATAGCTAAGGCGGTCTTCGAGTTCATGTTTGGTGCGCCTAGGTAATTCGTCGCTGAAGAGAATCTGTTCCAATTCAGACCGCACCAAAAGGTGAGCGGTGCTATAATCCAATCCAGGGATAGAGCCCATGGGATATGGATCGATGTTGAATTTGGTAAATAAATCAATGCAAATTTGGGAACTCTGGTCGTCGTCCTGCAACCTCGGGCCAGTCGCTTCCTTGCCTGGTGCATCCCTGAGCGGCGGAGAAGAGTCAGGGTCGCGCGGGGAATTACCAATCTCAGGAGCAGAGAGTTCTTGGTGTTCTGGGGACTCTAAGAGATAGTAGAAGTCCTCATATAGCTGTTTAGAGGCCATGGTTTATCTGCTGTTTTGTTGGGCGATCGTGGAGAGCGACTAATAATTCAAGAGTCATGTATGTAGCTTCGAGTGATGCGGTTCTGGAGCTTGAGAGAACCAAGGGTAGATGGTGCTGACGCACCCCAGATGACCGCAGAACGATCATTGACTACGATTGGTGTAATTCTTTAGGCAGCAATGCATTTGACCTATTTTGGTTTCGGTGAGGGGTTAAACATAATCAAGTGTAACCAACATCTGCATTTGTAAGCCCACAAGAAGCGCTGACTTATTTCCTCAGCCTTCCATACCAGAGAAAAACAAATCCTGAGACATTCCAACATCACTCACGCAACGCGGATCGAAATCCAATGAAGTATTCTGCTGCACTTCACTGACAACCATGTCGACAACATTCCATGCTGGTAGACGACCAGGCGCATCTTTAAATCATGTGGGAGGAGCTAGTTCTGATCGAATCATGCGATACTGCCTCGGCAAGCCTCTTGCGCCTAGGAGCACGGAAAGGGGCTCCGTGGTACTCGAAGATGGCCTTAATACTGATGAAGGCGTGCCACCTTTTGGCCGAATCAAGAACTGTGGTGTGGACGAGGAGCGGCATGAGACGCTATGGAGATTTGATATAGAACGACTCAAGCGTGCTGCCGAAACATCAGACATCACTCGTCTGCAGCCGAACATAGGGGAGGAGAACAAACTGAGGTCCTGGCACATCAGCGACGCAAACTTTGCACAGTTGGGCAGAGTAGCGGATAAAATTCTCTACAGCTTATGGTTGTTCAGCTACGAGGACGAAGCTGTAATGAGACATCACGGATATTCGTCCCCGAACCCACACCGCGGCCCCAGCATGTTCTGGAAGTTTCAACAAATAAGGGGCGAGATTCCTGATATACCTCTGCACAGCCGATCAAAAAGCCATTCCAGAGACGAGTACCTTGCTCCAGTAGATGGAGAGGCTGAGGAGAAGCTGACCACGATTTCAACCGATCGATTGACTGTCTTCGAAAAAGACCAATTCTGCTACATTGTGGACGAAGTCACTTCTATTCTGGCTCATATTGCCTGGAACGGTAGTGCCAGCCCTTATTGGAAGATGATCGTTCTTGCATGCTTGGCAAAGATCTCTACAAAGATCAAGGTCTTAGCTACGCAACTTCCTATGGCCATCTCTCGCGCTATGCATAAAATCGGGGAGCTCGGACCTGATATCCCGAAAGACGATCATTCCGACTACGATTCCGATTCCGATTCCGACAGACCATCATCTTCTACACAGCCGATTGTGGTCAACTACTGTAAAGAGTACATCGCAATGTCTACTTGGCTCATAGAATGTATTGAGCATGTACTGCGAAACCTTGGAGCCGAAAGACCACTATATGAGGACCGAAAAAAACTAGACATCTGTACCATGGTGTACGAGGCGGGAACCAGGGGCAGACACACACAAGTCTATCAGGACAGATGGGCCAGTATCAGCGGCTCCACCGATCGCCTTGGTATCCATTGGACTTTGAGCTCGTTAGAAGTAGGGTTGAAATTGTCGCAGACGCTCCCCCCACCTTCTCAGCTTTCATCGGCAATTGGACGTGGAGGAAAGGCACCCATACAAGCCATGTCCAATACTCAAGACTTACGGTCAAAGACTGCACCTTGGATCGAAAGAAGCGGAAAGACGAGTATCCAAGCTACCGTAGACATGAAAAACAAACATCTGGTTAAAGACATACGAAATATAATTGACTTCGTCGTCATAATGACGCCTTTGTCATTCGCATCCCCCCTTCTAGGCAAAGGTTTCGCCTACAACCTAGGAGGCATTAGTTCTCGAGTCGATATTCACTGGGGTACGCATCAGAAAATCGTATTGCAAAATGCATTTTTCAGCATGCACCGAGTTGAAGGGCGAAGCCACGGCAGCTTTCCAGGAGGAATTCCGGCCAAAGTTTCCGCAAGACAAGGACACGCCGAGACAACTTCACTGGCCCGGTCTTGGCTGGCGAGCCATCGACATCGTCCTCTTTGGAGGAGCTCCTCATCGTCGAATTCCTTGCTACAACAGATGAATGCCGACCCGTTCGAATGCCCAAACATGAGAGCACAGAGAGACCGAGAGCGGGTAAAGAAGATTACCGACGAATGGATAATTCAAGAGACGTCGATAGTTATTAAATGTCCCAAATATGTTAACATTGTATTTGGTCTGACTGTAGTGTTAGTCGTTGGCGGTTTTATGTGTGGCTTGCTCGTTGGAAGTAGGGTCGAGGGGGTTGACCCTTTCAACTTCACTGCATTCTCTTGGCTTCTCGGCGGGTTTATCTTACTGGTTGCGAAGGTCGTAAGAGTTTCAGACTGGACTTGGCGAGACTTTTTGCAGAGGCAGGTTACTTGCCGAAGTGTTTGCGAGGTGGCTAACGTGTCAGAGCTGAGCCACCAGGAGGTGCTCGCTTACTTACTCTCTTCTGAGTACCACCACATCCTACGAACATCTGGCCCATTCCAGAAAGTATTCGCCAAGATTTCTGTTGAGAATAGCTTCTCAATTGATGTCAGTCCCGACATTCAGACGTTGCTGGCCTCGGGTGTTGTTCCAGTCAAAGTTCTCACAGTAGACGGGGAGGCACTGGTGTTACTTAATCTAGTGTCTGGTCATGGAAATGTACGGAACATTCCTGTGTCTGCGAGCGTTGATTGTATACTTGTATGTACCGACCTGCCGCAGTCCAGCGAGGACTCCGAGGACTTGGTTTTCAACTGGCAGAAACTGAGTTGGACAAAGGTTCTTGGTGTATATAATGCAGTTGAGAAGCGCATAAGGTAAGGGGTAGGTGTTCAAAACTGTCGGGAAGGGAAACATCCCATTTTGACTGTTGTTTTAGTGTGGTCGGTATGGGAAATGTGCAGGTACGTTTCTGTTTGTATGGTTGTAATTAAGAAAGTTGCGTTGTGGTCTGTATCATGAAAATTACATCAGCGCATTTGAAGTGTTAAAAAGACAGCATGTTCTATATACACACTGCGTATTTCGTAGAACATAACATAGATAGGTCTCTCTAGCCGGGTACTGAGGAAGGTGGGATAAAGTCAACGCTTGATGAGCATATGGTTCAGTGGAATTGTGGTTGAGGAGGCCTCAAACGGATCTAATGCTGTGTTATGCTTTCCGTTAGGTGGTTCTTTAGAGAGCGAGGCCAACTATGTCGCCCATTCACAAATCGACTGGGATTCTTACCTACTGATGGCGCCGGGAGGGTGGCGTTTAATGGAGACTATGAGTCAGAACCCTAATAGACATCTTACACCGTTTGTACCTATACGAGGAGGTCTCAGTGGCTGGTAACGCAGGACAATTATCAAATCATTCTTATTTATATAGATGTACAATCCGCTGTAATATCACAATATTGAGAAGCCTTGTCTTTTTCGTGAATATGCCTCCATGTCAACCATCTCGAATCATGAGCTGTGGAGGCTCGACTGAGTCTGGCATAATATTAATGAGTTTCAGAACACATGGAAGAATTCAAACAAATCAGAACACCTGATTTAGACAGGAATTGAGTCACTCATAACTGTCAAAGTTGGCATTGGGCAAGTTAGTTGATTTCATGCATTTGTTTTCGGCGTCATCTTACCTCAACAGCAAACACAGTCGGCCAGTCAGTTGATGGCTGTACTCAGTGTAGGCTTGAATATCCTGTGGGCGTCTGCTAATCGATCAGTCTTGATATTTATCACAAAGATTGCGTTGGACGCCAGCTTTGGAGTCTTACAGATCGAACCAAGCTTCGCCATGCTCGGGATCATCTGCCCAGAATGGGCGCGAATAACCATCGTTGAGAACTTCCCACTCCCGACTGTTCTCTTCCATGACCCTCTCCAACGTTGATTCAGAGGCATTGTGTCCAATCAAGTATAATCGATTAAGCTTCTGAGCTACCCGAAGAGCTGAAGCATCCCAGGATTGAACGTGTACTTCCCGCAGTTGGCAATCTGTTGACGCATCAGAGGCAGAATGGTTGCTAGACACTGCCGAGAGGGGGTAACCGATGACTGGTGCCGAATAAAGAGCTCCTTTAGAGGAGAAGCAGCCCATTCTCATGATTGCGCGGATCCGCCGAGAAGGAAAAGCCGAGAGCATCTCGGCTTGGCTCGGGAAAGAGAGAATGACTCCCCTAATATACCCCTTATTGTCTTTGTGCATTCGTCTGCAAAAACAGTCTGGGAGAAAGCTATTCACATTCATCTTCTTCCCTTTGAGACTTGAATAAAAATTTATGATCAAGAATCGTCGCTCATTGAGACCTACAACTTTGGAGCTAGCTCTTTGACCACTGTGCCAATGAGCTTCCAGTAAACAAGGTCCAAAGACACCCTCGATGTGAAATTGGTCGCTGGCACTACGGGCGTCTGCATATGAGAGCCTCTCTCCGTTGTCGGATGCATCCGAACCTGCGATGGCTACGCAATTTCGACTGTTAAGCTACCTGTCATTATCGTGTTATTCGGCATTACTGAAACCATATCACGACATGATAACCTCAGCGATTGTAATTGGATGTCTAGTTATGTTAGCCAGCCGTTCAAAGTTTGTAGTTGTTAAAGCTATCGAACAAGGTTTGATATTTGGGCGGATATTTCTATCTCTATGTTCGGGTGTGTAGTTCTAGACGACGCCGGCGCTTACGGGACTACAACAAAACTCCTCGTGCTGGGCATGTTATGCGAGGCCAGCGCATGAATCCAGACGGCACATTGCTTCCATTCGGTCGCAGTAGAAATGAAAAAGCCAATACATGATGCAATCAAATACAGCTGCCTGTCTTGATTGGTATTTATGTCATCGAAAGTTGATATTCTCACTGTAACGGTCATTTTATGCGTGGTATTTGCCGACAGAGAGAACCTCATCAAAGCCCATCATAGTCAGGATAAGTGCCACCAGCTTCATCTCTAATAATGTTAGGCCCCAGAATGCTGTCAAAGATCCCTTCTTTATCGTTCCTGATGCTCATGTAGTATTCATGTACGACTGGGTGTTTCTCCGCCCAGCTCTTGGTGAAAACCTACGATACCGTCAGTGTTAGTCCAATTCCAGGGATATTTTAACGTACATATTGGTAGCCTCGGGCAAGACCGGAAACCACGAAAAGGTCAGCCAAGGTCAGTGTGTCACCAACAAGGTACTTCTTGCCCTTGATCTCCTTCTCAATAGCACGGATAGTTAATTCACAACCTTCCTCCCGTTCCTTGAGAATCTCTGGGCTTGTTGGTGCTCGACCGATGATGGGCTGGATCCATGCCATAATTGGCGGCAGGAGCTCATAGTTGGTGAAAGAAGCCCATCGGATGACTGTTGTTTCTTCTTTCAGGTTTGACCCACACAGCTTTGTGTTGGGATCTTGCTTTGCGACTGTTAAACTGTCAGTGCCATGTTGATTTCACAAGACGACATGCCACTCACGAAACCAAGCAACAGCGTTGCTCTCATAGACTTCGAAACCATCAGAGGTTTCGAGCGCGGGAACTTTGCCGGTGTGAAATTTGGACAGATAATCCTCGCCGACACCTCCCTTCTCCGGATACACTTTGATGGGGAATGCGTTGCAGATTTCAACGTCGAGTTTGTTGTACTTTGCAACGAAGAGCACCATAGTCGAGCGTGGCGCCTTCGGGTAAGTGTACAGCTTGCCGAAAGACATTTTGGGAGTGAGATTGAATGGCGATTTCGATATGGTGCGATCGAGAAGACGAGAAATGATGAGTTCAAGATTTCACTAGTGATTTAACGGTCATAAATGAGGGCCTCTTTGGTTTTGAAGCCTGTGACACTCGGCTGGAAGTCTTGGTTGAGAACGACGCTTTGATGGACCGGCTGCTTATCCCCGATCGCACTGAGAGGAGCACCGCGGCTAGACAGTTGCATGGGGGAGGAGCTCCACCTCGGCGGAGAGCAGTCCGTCTACTCTGACTGTAACCGCGAACCAAGGCGAATTAAAGTCGATGAATAAGATGCTACACACAAAACTCGCGGACCAAGGCACCCGAAATATGCTTGGATGGCGTGCTCGCAGTCTGCTTGACATGGCGATGACCTATGTCGTGAGGAGCTCCGCCTTGGATCGCTGCACGGCGTGGAGCCCCCTTAGTGGTTTGCGAACCGACCTGCTGCGATAAGGCAGCCAACGCCTCAGTTAAAATGATGCAGTGTTCTATGGCGGTCTTCAAAAATCATCGAACTCGAGCGAATGCATTTTTGCGTCTCACTCGCAACCCTGTTCGTGTGCTTCACTTGATAAAACGGACGAGATTGTATGGACCCATATCAGTACGAATGAGAAGGATGGATTTCAAGTCAGTGATCAAATGGGAACCCGAGAGCCCAAAAGACAATTGTTGACATAATTGTAAGCTACATTCTAGTAACTGGTGCAACTGGACTCGTCGGATCCCATGTTGTAGATAACCTATTGAGGAAGGGGTACAAAATCAGAGCGGTGGCGAGATCAAAACAAAAGGCAGACGCTTTCCTATCGGCAAGAGTCCAGTACGCCTCAAAGCTGGACTTCTACTTTATTGAGGACCTTACCGACCCAGGCGCTTTCGACGAAGCTGTCAAAGACATTGATGGCGTCATCCATGTTGCCAGTGTAAGTGTGGATTCCGAATCCGTCCAAATTCCCGTTGGCCATCGTCCGTAAGCTGAAACTTTTGCGTGCAAATAGCCTCTCAAGTACGACATAAAGGACAACGAGAATGATCTTGTCATTCCCGCACTGAAGGGCGTGAGGTCAATTCTGGATGCATCGGCAAATTCGTCAGTCAAGCGCATTGTCTTGACCTCATCATTCGGCGCAGTCCTCGATATGGGACGAGATGAATCGACCCCTTGGACATACACTGCCAATGACTGGAACCCAATCAGCTATGACGAGGCAGTGGCTCCCGATGCAACACCGCAGGACGCATATCGTGGCTCCAAGAGATTGGCAGAGCAGGAAGCCTGGAGGTTCGTCGCAGAGCATAAGCCTCATTTCGACTTAGTCACATTATGTCCTTCCATGATATTTGGACCGTTGGCTACACCTCCTCGATCAAACGACACCTTGAACGAGTCTAACATGATGCTGTGGCGGGTGGCAACGGGAGGACCGTCTCGATCCTTGCCTCCCTGCAGGTTCAACTTCTGGATCGATGTCAGGGACTTGGCTGAGATTCATGTCATGGCCTTGACGACTCCGCAAGCTGGCGGCAAAAGGTACATCCCAGTGGCTCCGGAGCCATTCACATATCAGAAGGCTTCAGAAACCATTCGGAGCACTCATCCAAATTTGACGCAGAAGATTGCGACCGGCATACAAGAAGTCAAAACTCATGTCCAGGTAGACCCTGAACCGATGATGAAGGATTTCCAGGGGTTGAAGTACACGTCGTTCGAAGAGACAGTCACAGACTTTATGAGCCAGGTCAAGCATCTTCTGTAGAATGTAGGATAATGATGTTTGTGTGTTAATGCAAGTTGCACGTCTACACCCGAACCAGGTCCAGAAAAGAGCCACCCTCTCAGTCATTGAAAACTGCGACGATCCATTTCCCCAAGGGCCAAAACCTTTGACTTGCAAAGTTCGCTTCAACCCATGTCAAGTATCTCGCCTCCGGCGTCTCGGAAATGTTGAGTGGATTATCATCAGAATTTATGGCTGCCAGAATGCCGCCTAAAAGAACCTGCGCAGTCACGGCATAGATGCTAGGAACTCGGGCGCCTGGGATATTGACGTTGCTTTGAGCAACCGTCAGTGACATAAGTCGAACAAGGCGCCAACCCATCAAACAGGCTTTGAAGCCCACCATAGTCATGAACGGATCTTCAATAATTGCGCATGTCGCATACTCATTGGGTATGGCCGTAGAGCCAGGGATAGAACTCCTCGATGAACGAGACATGAGCATTAGGATGTTCTCCATGTTACTTGCGATCCTTGTTACTACCCGCCACAAAAATGTCAGCAAAGCTGGTGTGAAGATGATAACCTCTGCATGCTTACCATCTCTATCGTCATAAACATCACGGTGCTGTTTTGATCGAGGCTTGTTCAATTCCCAGCATGTCGAGATTGCGTTTGGCAAGCTGTACTCGACGATGCCACTGGTTAGAAGAGCTTCTTGATGAGTGAGGCTCAGTGCCGCGTAATGCCACATGGTCCAGACGCGGTCCCAGCTGGCAGAATTCGTGGAAGAACTTCCAAGGTCGTGACTCGGCTTGCGCATCAGATCCGCAAGGGAGTCAAGGGCTTGCATTATCGGCGCTCGGTTGACTTCTGAGATAATCGATAAGTTGTTCTTGCTTTCTCCTGGCCGGATGTTGTGGTATAAGAAAGATCCCGCCAGTGTCAGATCACGCGTCATCATCAATATCTGGATTATGACCACCAAGCATGTGAACGATGACTGCCAGAGTAAACCTGGTGGACGACCGCGCGCAGACGGATCAGGGTTCATCAAACGCGCCAGACATCCGTAAAGATCTCCATGAGCAGGCCGGGGTTCAGCATTGGCATCGTCATCCTCTTCTTCGTTGAAGGACCCATCCTGGGCGAAGACTAGAGCCTGCCAGTCCTCGGCTGTCGTTCCTTCCCATATGTCATCTCGACATGGCAATTCGTACTTGATCTCGAGAGCTGCCAGAAGCGGTCGCATGTTGCAACATATTGCCAACTGAGCATCCAGGTAGTACAAACAGTATGCGATCCTTCATCTAGTCAGCTTGCTCTATGGAAGACAGGAGATCGCCACCCATACACAGTACTCACCGTTTTCTGGACTCATTCTGGATCGCGGTGTGCCAAGCCGACTCAGTAGAGTACGCTGACATATTGTCAATGCTTGTGGGACTGTTAAAACTCTCGTCCAATCCAAGAGTAAACCTGTCCTGCAGTAGTTGGTACTGGCGTGAGGCATCGACAACCTTTCGGTGGATCTTAAGTGCAACCGAGAAGCGGCCATCATCACAGCAATGAATGGCGTAGTATTCGAACAGCAAGTAGGCTTGCATGACCCAGACCTCTTGGAATCTAGAGCATCGACGCTCCCTGACCTGATTGATATCAAGTCAGTTACGCGAAGCCAGCAGCGACCTGATTAGGTGAAGCTTACATGTACATCCAATGCTTTCAGTCCAGATTCAAACAAGGCAGCACTGCACTCGTGCTTTTGGTCTGGAGATTGGTAGACCGCACCAATACAGGCAATTGCTTGCAGTAGTGGCTCTCTGGAAGAGCTAAGATCGAAAGTAGGCGCGTGTATTAGCGGAAATATTGGTTGAAAATTCTCGAAATAAGCTGTGATGAACTGTGGAAGCTTGAACATCCATGAGATGCCTTGATCACATAGTAACTGCGATATCGAAGACGACTAGATGAGTCAGTCGATCGTGCGCAAACATATGAGAATCTCGACTTCTTACGCGGGTGCTGCTGCTCTCGCGTCGAGTCGGCCCAACACTGTTCGCAGGATTTGGAAGTGTTTCGACTTGCGGCGCGGAAGGCGGAGGCTGTTCGGCACCGCTGTCTGATCCAGGGTGATACTTTCGTACATGGCGCTTCCTAAGATCACTGAAAGAGGTCAACGACCAGAGGACCAAGTCCGCAGATGGCTGGACGGAATAAAGGAATGACGGTCATAAGAGCTCCACATACCTCCTAGAGAAGCTCACTTCACAGTGGGGGCATGGGAATGGCCTCAAATTTGATTTTTGATGAACTTCGGACACTCAGTCAAACGAGTGAAAATACCACGCGACGCGTATCACTTACCAGAGCTAGTATGGCGACTCAGGTTCTCCTACGACAGATCAGCACCATCTCTATCGGCTATCGCAACGGCAATGCGGAATTGAATTACTTGTCGGGTGAAGCGACTAGGGCACGCTGGGCACTGGAACGGTCTTTCGCCCTTGTTCATCTTGACTATCTTTTCGGCAGGCATCACGTCTCTTTTGATCAAAAGGCTTGTCAAATGTATTCACACGATCCAATTCCCAAGATAATAGATGGTGTTTTCACCGTCTTTCGACCACAATTCACGACACGGTGTTCGGGGACGAAGGCGATAACGATAGCCCCGTGGCCCAACGCGATGGCAATGATACCGCTAGTGCCTGGCAAAGATAAGAGATTCCACGCAACGGCAATCGAACGTCATCTCGTAGGTTGCCTCAACGCGAGCCGGGGTTGGGTTGGAAACGCGGAGAGGATTGCTTCCCCGCACCCGGAAGAGGGGCCGGGAGAATGACACCGTGATGGACCCCCTGCATCCTTGCCAAGTTCGATTTAAGCCACTCAGGGCACCTGGATTAGAGCGCGCCGGAATTGGGATGTCGATTGAAGCGGGCGTCTGTCCAGTTCCACACCTTGCTTATCGTTGGCCCCATAATAGGGAGTGAGCGAGGAGGAGCTCCTCCCTAGTGTAACTCTGACTAGGTTCATTTTCCAATCCGGTGTGGCGAAGCAACTGGAAGACAATTATGGGCTCCTCCCAGCGGTACTGTTGGGCGGAGTTGTGGGAGGAGTGACGAGTATGGTGGTTGACAGGAGGAGCGCCTTGCTTTCGTAGTCGCTAGACATGATTGTGTTAGAATGGCAGCGATTTGCAGATGGACAGATACTACTTCCCCAGACGCGGAGGAGCACCAGGTGAGCACCGAGATGGACGCATCATGCAAGCGCAAGTGGCGGCCTGTAACCTTTGGACCAAATGCAGTCCTTGGGTTTCGATGAAGGACGGGTATATCAGAAGCTGGTAGTCTTCATGGAGATAAGAGGTTTGGTGCCGTGAGAAATGAATTGATTCTCATCACTCCCAACGATAATCGAAAGAATTGACTGAAGACCTGTGCAAATATGTCTCTCCCTCCCTTCACCCCAGCGTCTCCCTCGAGGGAAAACCGTAAGTGCTGTGCCTCATTCAACCCGTTTGCTCTGTCAAGCAGCATCGCTAATCTCCGGCAGTTGACTATGTCAAGCTTGTAAATCTCGATCTTGCAAAATTCGACGACCCAGTTGGCCGACAAGAACTTGCGAAAGAGCTCTATGAGGCCGCAACAGGATATGGCTTCCTGACTCTTACCAACCATGGTATATCCGACGAAGTATATGCTCGGCAGATGCAGATTGCGAACGCCATGATGACCCTGCCGCCTGACGAGAAGGCGCCATATGAAGGTGAATAATTCCTCTGGCCACGGTAAAATATTGTCCATAGTTGACAGACTCTCCCATCAGTCACCCCCGAAGAAGACGCTCGTGGCCTGTACGTTGGTTACAAGCCGGCTGGCCCACTCGGACACAAAGGCGGCTTCCCAAAGCAGCTGGACCACTACAATATCCTTGTTCACGACCCCAAGAACCGCCCTCACCCAGAGATCATGAGACCTTACCTGAAAGAGACCCAGGAGGTGATGCAATTTATCCGCACGAATATCCTCAAAAAGCTGTTGACATTGGTGAGCATGATCTTGGAGGTTCCCGATGAAGCAGTGCAGGCTACCCACGCATCCGGTGGCTCCAAGACAGAGTACATCAGATACATGATGTGCGAGCCTCGTCCTCAGAAAGAGAGTGAAAAGTACCGTGACATCTTCCTCTCCGGACACACCGACTGGGGCTCTTGGACGTTCTTGTTCTCGCAGCCCATCGCCGCACTCCAAGTTCTGGACCACAATGACGGCAAGTATCGCTGGGTCGAGCACCAGCCAAAGGGTCTTGTCATCAACTTTGGAGAGGCTATGGAGCGTTTGACAGGGGGGTTGTTCAAGGCGACCATTCATCGTGTCGTGCAACCACCTGTGGACCAGCGACACCTGCGTCGTATTGGAGTCATCTACTTCGCCCGCCCTGCAGATGATCGCGAGTTGAAGCCTCTGGAGAACTCCCCGCTGCTACAACGTCTTGGCCGCGACAAGCCCATGGATGATCGAGTGTTTTGCATGGCTGGTAAATAATCAAACTTGGCAGCTCAATTGATCTTGGCTGACAGTTAGTAGACTATCTCGATGCACGGAAGCACGGTTGGAAGCGGTATGAGTACGATATCGACCGGCCTATGGACACTGGAAAGCACGCCGACTTCTTCGCAGGAGAGTATCCAGATCCTGAAGGCCACAAGAGCTTGGGAAAGTTTGACAACGTTGCTAGGGAAGTGTATGTGCCCGTGCTTAAGGCACAGTGAATAATCGCAACGAGCGGACTTGTCCGTCATGGCATCGAGGCGGCCTGATGAGGGATAGAAAGGCAGAGATCTCCGAAAGCTACTTTTCGAGCAATAATAAACACTCTTTGATATATTATTGCTTGAATTCACGTGGTTGTGTTTTGATTCCATTCGAAATGCATATGGCCTCAAGTCGGGCTCGTAGATCAATCTCATCCCCTATTACCACTTAGTCTTAACTCGATTTTGCCTAGGCGGCCACAACGCGTGACATCAGCAGTAGTTTTCTTGTCGACTGCAGCTTAAATCTTGACATGTTGATACTGGAGATAACGGGCCGCCGAGTTTGGACAAACAAAACCACCATTTGACACAACTACGGACAGAACACCGCCGTGACCTCTACTTTGCCTCATTCTCTCATTACTGATCTCACTTACCCCATGAGCTTCCGGGGCTCCGTCCTTTGATTCGACATGATTATCGGTGCGACTGTCGACATGGATGGGTTGGTGGGAGGAGCTCCTCTCGGTGAAGCCCCACTTGATATACTTCTTTCTCCCTCACTTTATTGATGTGATTGGGTGATCATAAACTCCCAAGCTTATCATTGATGCACGCTAGTCAACACCAAGCTGATGCCAAATTGCCAACGTTGTGATTGCGTCTGAGTATTCTATTTGTGTCAGTACCCCGGATTTCGTTCGGTCTTGACGAGTGACAGGCATGCAGAGTCTCTTCGACGGCGGGGCACCAAGGAACATCGGAGTCCTCGGCTGATTGCCCTTTCCAGTGCCATGACAATCTCCTGCTTCTCATGAGACCAGCCAAGAAGATAAGTCTACCATTGACTGACGGCACGGTCTTGGGGTGATAACGCACGACACCCTGTATCTCGAGATAGGAGACCTACTTAAGACCTCGGACTCAGCTGAATTCGAGGAGGGTCGATCTCATGCACCCAGTCTGAACGAACAACACCACCAATTCTCCGAAGAATAGCCCAATAGGGCATCACGATCACCCATCATGTCGCCGTTTTCGGATTTGCGACAGCACTTCAAGGGTGCATCGACACCCCAGGAGAAACGGCTTGTCTTGAAGTTGGACTTCTTCATCCTGACCTTCTGCTGCTTGGCCTACTTTATGTGAGTGATCACTCTCTACAATATGATGAGGCAAATGCTAATATCCGACGAAAAAGGAACTATTTAGACAGAGCCAGTATTACACAGGCTTACGTATCTGGAATGAGGGAGGATTTGGGATTCAAAGGTGCCCAGCTCACGGAAGTTACAACACTTTATGCAACCGCATACCTTATGTCAGTTGACTGAAGTTCTCGACCTGAGTTTCCACGGGACGCATGCTGATTTGCTGTCTGATACAGCGGCATTGTCCCAAATAATTTGCTCTTGACTTATTTCAAGCCCAAGAGGTTCTTCCCGTTTATGATCACGACATGGGCGATTATCACCATGCTGAACGCGGTCGCGAAGACCCCTCAACATATGATGGTGATTCGCTTCTTTCAAGGGTACTTTTTCCCGGGCAAGCACTCCTATGCAATTACAAACTAAACTTACATCGTTATAGATATTTCGAGTCGTGCATCTTTGCTGGCACGCAGTACATCCTCGGATCATGGTATACGAAGAAAGAATTAGGACAAAGAACTGGCCTTTTCACTGCAAGTGGTTTGGCTGGGGGCATGTTTGGTGGTTTCCTTCAGACGGCTATCTACTCCTCCATGAATGGCCTCCATGGAATGCCGGGATGGAAGTGGCTGTTCATCGTCAGTACCTCTACACCTCAATGGCGAAAGCGATACTGACAGAAACTCATCAGATTTCCGGAATTATCACTCTGCCTGTTGCTATCTACGGCTATTTCTTCTTCCCAGACACGCCGAGTACTACAACAGCCTTTTACCTCAGCGAAGAGGAGATCAAGCTTGCGCAAGAACGAGTTCCTATTCGCGAGGAGGGAGAGAAGATTCTGACCTGGTCCTTCATCTCCCGTATCCTGCATTCGTGGTATTTCTACGGTTTCTGCTTCTTGTGGATACTCGGCAACACCTCTGAGTCCCAGTCAAACCAGTCCCTCCTCAACCTTTACATGCAATCTCACCCCACGGAGCATTACACTGTATTTCAACGCAACAATTACCCGACAGGCGTGCAAGCAGTCGGTGTTGTCAGTACTCTGCTGTGGGCGACTAGTACCGACATCTGGGGCCGGAGGTGGCTGTCTGGCTACTACGTCGCTTTCACGGCCATAGCGAACGCTGCTATCATCCTGGCGCCTACGTCAACTACAGCCAAGTTTGGGGCGTACTACTGGGCGGGGTCCATTTACTGCATTCAAGCGACATTCTTTGCGTGGGCCAATGACTCCATGCGAAATGAGTCCCCTGCTCTTAGGGCTTGCGTGATTGCCTGCATGAACGCGGCGGGTAACTGTTTTCAGGCCTGGTGGCCGCTCATCTTCTTCCGAGCAGATGATGCACCCGAATTTAGGGTGAGTAGTCAGAGGCATGAATATGTCTCGTCAAGAGTCCTCAACTGACATATTGAACAGAAAGGAATGATTGCGATGATTGTCGTTGGCACTGCAATGATGATTTGGGTCACCGTTCTCATTTTCATGGATAGACGGCTTTCCAAGAAGCAGATTCAGGTTATTGAGGCTGTTGACGCCGACAGCCATGCAGAGGCAGGGCTTAGCGCGGTTAAGAATGTTGACAGCAGAGATAAGGGCTCGACGGACAAGTAAAGTGGGCGGCTTGAGACCAATAGGATATCCTCCCTGTATCGTATCAAGTTTGTAGTCCTGGGTCTGTTCAGCCCATTACCATATGCTTTGTTTTCATTTGTTCCAAGCTGAATGCGCAGCTTGCCAACCACTCGCTAAGAGCCTGGGACATTATGTTGCTGGTGTATGCCCCAGCTTTTTAGGCAGGCAATCGTAAGCTCACCGGCCCTAGCTGTTCTTCATCGTCCCTAGCCGCATCCACTCGATAGTAACCGACGTTCAATCATTGGCCTGTTCGGCCGAGTTTCCCAGAAGAGCTGCTAATGATACCATACTTCTCCACCAGCAATCCATCGCCTACCTATTACTTCGTACACTGGCACCGACTAAGGTATTTTGACAGGGTATTTGAATGCACGAGTATGCTCCTTCTGTACGAGAAAGTTGTGCGAAGGGTTCTCCTAAACTTCCTGTTGTTAGGCCCTCCGTCAACAGACTGCGTGCTCACAAGTGTGCGTGATTGTTGCTGGTTCGGGTACCCAGTCAACCCAATCATCACAGTCCAAGAGGTCAACTCATCGCAGCTCCAATATCAGATCGGGCTACGCAGCCTTTGAAGCTGCTCAGAAATTTACGAAGTTTCCGCACGGGCATAAACGGATCTATGCTAGTTTCGACACCTACGGTATGTACAATAAATGTCTTCGATAACCTGCATAACCTTACACATCCGTGATCATGCATCGTGGCTTCTCCAATGTGAGGAGAAAGCATGCTCCAAGACTACAAGCTGACAACCTTTATTGCAGAATTGCGAAATCCCCTCTCTTTAAAGTCTGAAGATGCCGTTCAAAGACGTGGTCGCTTTCTACGCAAGCTCATTCAAACCGCCGAGTACCTGGGTCGCAGTTTTGGGCGCCTCAGCCCTGGTAATTCGCGACAAACCTGTCTGTGCTACTTGAGCTCATTAAAAAACCACAGGCTGTAGCATATTTCGCTTCCGTGTGCATTTACAACCTCTTCTTTCACCCTCTTGCCCAGTATCCGGGCCCTCGCCTCGCTGCTGCAACTCCTTTATGGCTCGTATCGGCCATCATTGGAGGTAGGCAGCCCGACGATACTCTAAAGCTGCACGAAAAGTATGGGTCCGTCGTCCGAACCTCTCCGAATGGTCTGTCTTATAGCGACACTCCTCAATGGAAGGAAATTTACGCACCCAAAGCGGGGCAGCTGGAGTTCGCGAAGGACCAGAAATTCTTCGCCGGTTTCCGGGGCCGGCACCTCATTCTCAACGCCGACAGACGCTACCATCCGTTCATCCGTAAACTGCTTGCACCCGGGTTTTCCGAGAAGGCCATGAGAGAGCAAGAGGCGGTGCTGAAAGAATTCGTCGACCTCATGTTTCGGAGAGTGCAGGAAGATGGACAGAATGGCACGCAGCCAGTGGACATCCTGAAGTGGTTCAACGTGGGTGCTCTTGCCGCTCTTCGAGCCTGAATCTGTGTTAATCTGAACTTAGTTCTTGACTTTTGACTTCATCGGTTTTCTCAGTGAGTCTACCTCATTCTAGACCGTTCTCGATCTTCAGCCTCTGACTCGGCTTCATCAGCTTTTGGGCAGTCGTTTGATTGTCTTACAACATCTACTCTTCATGTCTGGGTCAAGATGTTCCTGTCTTTGGCCAAGTTCTTCGCTTACTACCAAGCGATCTCTTACTTGCCATTAATGCTTCGTTTCCCGGTAGGGCTGTGGTTGTTTCCGCTCAAGGTCCTCTCGGATGCTAAGACCCTGACACGGCTTCAAGAGGTATGTATTGCATAAACACGGTAGAGTGGGTGCAAGCGGCTCACGATAGTCCCACAGGAAATGGTCAATCATCGTCTTGAAATACAGCCGACAGTGCCGGACTTTATGGACAAAATGATTGCGGCCTACAAGTCAGGCAAGATGTCTTATGATCAATTGGAGGGCAACTCGCAGCTTCTGATTGCTGGCGGAAGCGAGACAACCTCAACTCATTTGGCAGGTGAGTCGTGCGGTGCTGGTTGGCTTACCATCTTGATTTTTAAATCCCATGCTGATGCGAATGGTATGATAGGTCTTGTTTGGCTCCTTATGACGAACCCTCGGGTCTTGGAGAAATTGTCCGCTGAGATCCGCACGGCCTTCGCGCACGAAGACGAAATTACTTTCGCTGGGGTAAACGACTGCAAGTACCTCCTCGCCTGTATTGAAGAAGGTCTTCGAATCTACCCGCCCTCACCTCAAGCGCATAATCGCATCGTACCTCCCGGGGGCGCTACGATCGACGGCGAGTTCATCCCGGAAGGTGTGTCCGTTGGTGTACATATATATGTTGCGAACAGAAGTACTGCCAATTGGACCCGTCCCGACGAATTTATCCCTGAGCGCTGGTTGGGAGAAGATCCCGAATTTGCTGGCGATAAGCGAGACGCTTCTCAGCCTTTCCTGTTGGGCCCGCGCATGTGCGTTGGAAGAAACTTGGCCTACGCCGAGATCAAGGTTATCATCGCCAGGCTGGTCTGCCAGTTCGACATCGAAAACGTGACAAAAGGAGACTGGATGGATCAGAAAGTTTTCATGGCATGGGAGAAAATGCCACTGTGGATCAAGTTGCATCCTGTCCGGAGGTAAAGAAACCACCTCAAGATTCTTTGAGAGTATCTTGGGTTATTTTATGCCTCGGACATGGTTCCATAGAAACATCAGACTGAGACACATGAAGAAGTCAGATAGGTTTGCACTTCCCTGTGTCATTGACATCTATTCTGGATTTACATCGCTCTGTCTACTTTCCGTTTAAACGTAGCTACAACCTGATCACATTGCCATTCTCAACGCAAGCATCTTGCCGATATCCGGTGTGCCCAAACCCGTGACAGCGTCCCATCCCGGAGCAGTGGGCCAAGACGCGTTTGGCACAAGTTTAGCCCCAAATTGAGGCGGGAACTGCTGACTCCCAAAAGCAGTCGTCCCCGTGCATCCAACGGAAGCACCAACCTTCACGTCATTAATGGCTTGAAGTCCAGCGCCATACAGCCATGGATTGATGAATCCCATCGGGGGCTTTCCGGCCTGGATGAGTGCCGCATTTACCATACCCACTGTGCCAGCCCAGATCGGTGCCGCGGCACTTGTTCCTTGGAAGCCGCCGAGCTGACCACCGGTGAAGAACGTCGCATTGAAGCTCTGGGCGCTCACGTCTGGGAAGCCTCTGCCCGACGCATTGAAGAGGCCCTGGAAGTTGTTGCCAACTGTTTTGAGATATGGAGGAACAGCTTGATCTTGGTACGCTGGCCTAGCGAACTTGTCCGAAAATCCACCGCTGGAGAAGGGGAATGCTTGTTCAGGAGCTACGTTCTTGGTTCCGCCAACGCCGGTGACAAAGGGGCATACAGCGGGGAAGACTGGATTGAAGCGTGTACTGGCGGTGCCGTCGTTGGTCACGCAAGTGTTTCCCGGCCCAGAGTCTCCCGAAGCAGCGAACATGGTGACGCCTCGAGCACCAAGGGCACCGAACTGATTGCAAATCTGCTGAATGTAGCCGTCAGGCAGGGATTGTTCGTTCTCGCCAAAGCTTGTGGTTATAGTATGAGGGAGCTGATCGTCAGGAAGCTTGAGCATGGCATCGAGCCAGATGAGCCATGGCTCCGTGGTATCCCCAGGCTGGCCTCCCAACTCCAGCTTGATGGGACCATCACCAGCGACGGCAGTGACAATATTTGGTACGGGGTTCGAGAGAGACGCAGTGTACTGCATATCAAAGTTTAGTTCGGCGTTCGACAGCTGATTCTGATCCTGGCTGGTGACGCCACCGTTAATGCTTAGGAAGGAGAAGTTGACCCCAGTGGACGGCGGGTCGATATTCTTCGCGAAGAGGGCGAAGTCTGCGAATTTTGGGACCTGACTTTGAGAGGCATATACACCGAGACCACGGGCTTTGCTGACAGGAACGTTCGCAGGGACGTTGTAGAGTGCTCTGACGCAGCTGGGTGTGACGGTTCGATTGCACGTCGCGTCAACTTGGGCTCGGGACACTGATGGTGGGGGATCGACGGTTGCGGCTGATCTCCACAGGGGCTCGTTGGTCACCCGAGAGAAAGCCCTCTTATGCTTGCGAAGCTCTTCGGATGGTAGCGCGTCATGAGTGTTCGGAGCTTGGGGTTCTTGATGCATCATCGGATGCGAACAAAATCGTGTCGTCGGGGATATTAGCGATATCTTGGCCTTCAACTCCAACGGCAACGAATACTCAAGGGTCCTTAAGACCTCTTTCCCACTGTCGGCATGTTTGAACCAAGAATAGTTGGCGCCTAGCAGCCTGTTGGCTTTCTCAACCGTAGTGGTAACCCGGATCCAGTGGCCGTCGCTTGCAATCGCGGATTGATCCAGACGTCCCTGATTCAAGAGCCAATTAACCACCATGTCCCGAGACTCATCATCAGGCATGAGAAGAGCCTGAGCCTCCTCCCTCGAAAGATGCTTCCCATACAACTCATGGCCGGGCGTCGAGACACTATACAGTGCCTTATGTACGTGATCGGTTCGATCAACTGCTATAGACAGTTGGAATTGATGTTGAGGATCGGCCAGTCGTGATTGCGTCCATCCTATCGGCAACTCCTTGATGTATTCGACCTGAACTTGTCTGGATGGAAGTGCCTCAATGAGAGTGGCGCACAAGAAAATAATTACTGATGATACCAGCATCTTGAAGGATCGGGTCGTGCCCGGCACAGTAGCCCGAGACGAATTAGAGAACGCGCGGAAAAGGGACGAGCATCAAATCAGCGTCAACCGGCGGGATGAGGAAATCAGACAACACATATAATTGGGACCTCCATTGAAGATTAAAAACAACAGGGAGATTTACCCGTGCCATTCCGCGTGGGGCCTACGCCGCGCGCATGTTTCGCAGCTCGCACGTCTCGGAGTCGACAACAAAATCCTGAGAAAACTCAATTTGGCCCAAGCCAACGATCGCGAAAGTCGCCGGTGGGATGCGAGCAAACATCTTCCAGAACCCTTGCAACGTCCCTCGCGGGCGCGATCTTTGTCATCTGACATTGGGAGTCTCAGGACATCAGCGCCAATTGCTTGACAAGGGGTTCGTCGATCCATGGGACGGATGGTTCATGCGTGTTGCCTGCGCTGTTGTGAGCAGGCGAGCATTGTTGTACTCGGACCTCCCGATGCGATGGTAACGTGCCTGGCGCTAGACCCCGGAGTCTAAGGATGTTCCCGCCCACAGCATGTTCGAGACAGTGGCGCGGCAAACATTATGTGTCCCCAGATCCAACCCCTTGAATTGCCCCATAGTATTTCGCTGGGTTCCAAAGGTACGTAGGGATCCTCATCGACCACGATTTGGAAGATTAAGCACATGAACATTCATCTAATGATGCGGCGATAAAGCATACTTCCGTTCCCGCGGATTCCACGGGTTCACTGATTTGCTGCACATCCAAGCACCCTTCGGATCTTGATTGTGACTGACCTTTCTTCAAACACAATTCGATCGACGGTGACCATTACAGGACCTAGAATCCCAAGAAACTCACCTCTCGATCAAAAGAGCAACGAACGTGAGCTGGTTCTGACGTTGGCGTGCGCGCAACTCAGCCAAGTCACTGTCGACACGCTGATTTGACATCTCAACCCGGCGTTGATCGGAGAATAATTGTACTGACTAGTCGTTCGGGATATTTAAGCTTTCACTACGCCCCTAGTTGCAGCATAGTACGCGCAATATTTTTGGTCTTTTCGCCTAAAACCGGAGCTTGGTGGACCTGGGACGAGGAAGGCCCCTGTCCTCACCCAACTCTAAACCTATTGATGGCATGGCAATGGTGGCCTCGATGGGATTTCGGACCCAACTTCCACTGCGTCTCGGTTTATTTGATTGAGAAGGCTTCTTCCGAAGTCTTCGTGTTTCGCTTGGCGGACCTTAGGGCGTTGTTCGATTGCTATCTTGTTGGCCCAAACACCAACGCGAATACGATACCCACATAATTAGATGTTTCCTAACTCAAATTTTTCCCTCGTCTGCGAACGAGTCGGCCTCGTTTCTGAGCTCATTATGGGCCAATAGTTCCGCGGAACTACGTTGAGTGATTGATGGCCTTGTTGCGATTTACCTCAGGAATTCGATACTCGCTGCCCCTCTCCCTCCTAACAGTTGCCCAGAAATCATATCCTCGGTCTCTCATCCTTGTCTTCCGCTCCTCTCTCTCCCGATTGTCGATTCGCTGCCGCCGGCGTTCCCTCCTTTTCTCGGGAACAACCTTCTTAACGCCCGACCACGCAGAAACGATAACCTTCTTGCCGCCCTTATATACGCCCCGCACGACCTCCTGAACACGTGAACTAAAGGCGCCAATAAGCGCGGCGACGATGAGGAAGATGGAGACCGGCAGCGAGATTGCCCCGATATCCCTTAGTGAAGGAAGAGTGTCTTTGTCACTATCCCAGTCCGTGGTGTTCATGCCAAAGAGGCCCGTGAAGAATGATAGCGGCAGAAAGATGACGGTAAACGTCGTGAAGATCATGACCGACAAATTTTGTGATGATGCGAGCTCGGTTTGGAGGCGGGACCAACGGACCTCGTCTACTTGGGCCTGACGCTGAACCATCTCGAGAAGTTTCTCGTACTGCGAAAGTCATATAAGTACGTAGAACTATAAAGCGTTTGTCACAATACTCACATCGTTGCGTGTCGTATCTACCCGTTTCAGCATCTCAGCCGTCTGACTTCGGTATTCGTCCAACTTGCCAAGGGCCTCATCAAGGTACATCCTCCCATTCCGGGTCTGCATCTTCAGCTCTTCACTCTCAAATATGCTCTTCATATTCTTGACTGCTGCATCCTGGGCTTCGAAGAGTCTCTCGAGCGACTTTAACTCGTCTTCCAAGTCTCGCAGTTCCATAAGCGCAGACGTGTTTTCGCGATTCTCGCGCTCGGCCTCTTGGAGCTCTCTCTTATGACGCTTCTTGATGGACTCGGGTCGATTGCTTTCAGAGTCGGAATCGACACCTACATCTTTGAAAGTCTGCATTCGAAAGCGCTTCAGTGAAGAGGTCATGCGTTCGGTCTGTGCAGGTCAGCAAGGGCTACAGGCCGATCATAAGAGAAAGCGGCACCTACAAGCATGCTTATTGCCTCCTCAAAGATTCTGAATATCTCCAAGTCGGGATGGGAAGCTCGATCGAGTAGGACCGTGACAGCGTGTAAGACTACGAATGCCGCCAGGTCAAGTGCATTTTCGCAACGACCTGTCAGGTCGCCATTGAGCTCGTTGTAAACACTGTTTCTCAAGTCCGCTTGACCGAAAAGAGGCCCTTCCTTTGACTTAGATTCCCTCTTCGAGAAGAAAGTGGCCAAAGTTTCTGTTGATTCATTAACATCACCGTCCGTCACCGCGTCATTCCCTTAGAAACTCACTTTTGTCAATAGCCCATAGCCATAACTGGTCGACCATGAGAACCTTTCCATCTTTAATAACCTCTTCCAGATCCTCAGTCTCATCATCGCTGCCACTTTCCTCTTCCAGCAGCCCAGTGCTTGAAGGCGACAGCCTGTCAAATGGACTCCCGGTGGATCCAAGGGTCTGCCTCCTCGTTAAAGTCATCACTTCCCGGTTTACACCACCAGAAGCCCGGTCTTTAGTTAGCTTATAGAGCATCTGGTCATCATCCCGCGCCCATGTATCCCTTAGCGACGGATACGCGAACTGGTCTAGCGTCCGGCGGTAGTTCAGCGGAGGATCGTAACCGATATACTCCCATATCATCCTCAACTCCGGGGACTCCAAGTTGGCTATTTCGCGAGGTACGGGACGTGCCCGACCATGTTGCATACGGCGCAGGATAAACTTCCTCCGTTGGAGAACATCGATGTAGGTGTCAAAATGGAGGTAGGGCATGTACAAGTACAAGTAAGAGGATGACGGCCCGGCTGCAGGGCTGACGCGACCAGAGAGATTAGGCGATGGGTGTGGAGAAGGAGCTAGAGGGTATGTCAATTTTGATGACCATGCTTCTTTAGGTCGTCGGACTGTTACCTGATCCAGCAGGTATATAGCTGCAAGTCGGCTTCACGAAGGACGCTTGCGACTGAGAATGTCTTCCGATGACATGCTTAGCCGTCCAATTATCCTTGTTGAAAACCTTTGCGAAACTTGGATCATGGGGATTAGCAAGCACCCGGAAGACATCCTGAATGAACATATACAGTTAGAGAGAACCTCAAACACCATTTATGTGAACGCACCTTAACCCAGGAGGGATTTGTGTAAGGGGTATGGATCCACATGAACTTCCTTGCCAGAGGGTCGGGCCTTGAGAATCCAGCAGCTGCCGTCAAATCTTCCATGGCCGAAATCCGAGACTGTCTATCTTGACGCCTGGATAAAGGCTCTGAATGGCTCTTTTCGACGCCGATCTCCATAGCAGGTCCTAGCCCTGGCCCCGGGTCTGGCGTCTTGGGAGACAATTCCAACTCTGTCGGATCAGATCTTGTACTCTCAGCGTTGCTACTTCGACTCGAAGGGCGGTTGAATCCTGGCGGCAACAAAGGTGGGACGGTAAGGGATCCCATCCGCCTCATCGTATCAACTGGCAAAGAGTTGGAGCCTCCAGCCATGGGAGGCCTAGTTACAACAATTGGCGGTGATCCTTGGCTCTCTGAATCTGAAGTTTTTGGTCGGCTCCCGGCGTTCGAGGATGATCTGAATAGCCTGTTTCCCAATTCTTGCAGCCCTGGCAGAATACCAAGGCCACTGCTACTTTGCTGAGAATTCTCTTGACTTTGTGAGTGAGAGATAGGATCTGATCGCGGCCGAAGCGTCGTTCTCCTTAGACGCTCCTCCAGACACCTCTCGGGGCCCTTCTCCAGAAACTCCTCAAGATGTAGTTTCGTGAAGTAAAGTCGGATATCAGAATCTACTTGCGCATCCGGATCATCGTAAAAGCCAATGATCTCAACCTTTACGTGCTTCTTCAGACTAAGAGGCGTGTGGATGTACTCGGAGCTGAGATCAGTAGCCTTTTTGACCGCGGCAGCAAGTTCTGTCAAGTAGCTGCCCATTATTTCGGTGTTTCCTTGTCCAAATGATGCGCAGTTAGCGTGTTCGCTATCGAGAGCAAATACGCGCTCTTGGCGGACACCGACGAGTGAG